CCATGGAAAGCATCAAAAATAAACATAATCATAAAAAATACAATTTTCAGATCAATTTGTCATATATAATAACTCTAAGGGAATAAGCTATTTATACTAAACACTTGAGGGACAGGTCTGTCAAACAATAATAATAGTGATAACACCAAAATTAGTGTTATTTATCATACATATCTACGCATGTTTTGTGCCAATTCATGTTCTTAAATGCTTGAACATCGTCCTATTGCGTTCCTATTTGGTTTTGATGTGATTTTAGAGTGTATTAGTCGATATATGCGAATTAGGTACAAAACAAGGTCACAAGTGTATAGAAGGGACAGGAATTGAAGATCACAAGTGTATAGAAGCCGAAGATCACGGCTGGATTATCCTTCGAATATTCCTTTTTAATCGATTATCCTTAGAATATTCCTCAGAATAAACGATTAATAATTAATTATTATATAATTAATTTTGTTCGGAATTTCTCCAAAAAATATATATATAGTCTCAAGTGAACCAACCAACCGACCGACCGGCCAGTCAGACAGACAACGCGCGCGCGCGTGTGTGTGGTGGTCCATTAGGTCCTCTCTCTCCCACAAAAGTGGGTCACCGCAAGGGGCATACCCTTAGGAGAGAGGCTCCTATCTTTATACACATTTCACCAAGTAAAACTACCAATGTGGTAGTTTTTCCACTTGAGACTCTATAGCTTTCAAAGCTATTCATATATACATTTCCAACAATCCCCCACTTGAATAGTTTTGAAACTGTCTCTGAGCATCAACAGTTCCATAAGATCGGGCATAAGCTAAGGTATCGCGAAGATTTGAACCTTAGTGTAATGGTTACACTTCTGATTTCATAAGGATGACTCGTAGTCTTGAACCCTATCTCAGACAGTGTAGCACACCGGATCTTTTCATTGAGTTGTGTTCTCTTCTTAGCCCGTGCGTTTATGACCATGCACGTTATCCTGCTTTAGTGAACGCTTTAGCAACTTTGTGCCTCCAAAGTTCCATAGGGAGCGGCCCCACTCCCACATTCACATAGGTGAGTCTATCAGGAGTACCCCCAAAGTAAAGTACTCCACCCCACATAGGGTATAGATCTCATTAAGATTTATTAACTCAACCTCCATTGCTTTGGGATTTATGCTTCACTATGCATGAAATTTTCGCATACTAACTCATGACTTGTTATTACCCATTGAACCCATTTCTTGGGATCTCCAGTCTACTGGGTCGGATTACCATCACTTGTAGTCCGTGGTTCGGTAGGCATAAGTCCCATACCCTTGGCGGTATTCTGGACTTCTCTAGGTAATCCTTTCATCAATGGATCAGCTAGATTCTGTTCGGATCTTATATGATCCACTCTCACTGATCCTATCATTAGGAGTTCTCTTACAGTACTGTGCTTACGACGAATCTGTCGTTTCTTTCCGTTATCGAACCGGTTCTCAACTTTAGTGATAGCTGCGGTACTATCACAATGGATCAATACCGAAGGGACCGGCCTTTCCCATAGGGGAATCTCTGACAACAATCCACTCAACCAACTTGCTTCTTCACTAGCCGTTTCTAGTGATATCATCTCTGATTCCATAGGTTACTGAGCTAGGATGGTTTGTTTCTTTGACTTCCAAGACACAGCTCCACCAGCGATGTTAAAAACTTACCCGCTGGTTGCCTTGGAGTCATCTGATAGGGTATTCTTTGCCTTGGAGTCATTTAATAGGGTATTCTTTGCCTTAGAGTCTTCTAGTACAGCGGGAAACCTTTGATAGTGTATACCAAGGTTTGCTGTTCTCTTGAGGTATCTCATGACCCTCTCTATAGCATTCCAATGCTCTCTAATAGGACAGTTGTTAAACCTGCCAAGCAATCCCACGACATATGCAATGTCTGGTCGAGTGTAATCCGCAGTATAACGAAAACTGCCAATGATGCTAGCATATTTTGATTGTCTTACACTGTCTCTAGTGTTCTTAAATAGCTGTACACTAGCATAATACGGAGTACACGCAGGTTTACAGTCGAAATAGTTATATTTCTTCAAGATCTTCTCTATGTAGCTAGATTGATCTAGAGAATAACCATTTGTTGTTCTAGTTATCTGGATTCCAAGCATAATCTTCGCTTCTCCCAGATCTTTCACCTCAAAGCTCTCTTTTAACATGGCTTTCGCTTCATTGACCACGTGAATATTTGTACCAAATATTAACATGTCATCTACATACAAACATATGATAGTACAAGTGTTATTCTCTGACTTGGAGTAAATACACTTGTCACTTTCATTCATCTTAAATCCATGTGAGAGAACGAGAGTGTCAAACTTCTCATGCCACTGTTTTGGAGTCTTTTTCAAACCATATAATGATTTTTCTAACTTACAGACTTTCGAGGCATGTTCCGGGATAACAAACCCTTCTGGTTGTTCCATATATATTTCTTCATCTAGATCACCGTTCAAAAAAGCAGTCTTAACATCCATTTGGTGTACCACGAGATTGTTCAAGGCAGCAAGAGCAATCATGACACGAATGGATGTTATTCTAGATACTGGTGAATAGGTATCGAAGAAATCTATATTCTCTCTCTGCCTATAGCCCTTAACTACTAGGCGAGCTCGGAACCTTTCGATTGCACCATCAGGTTTCCGTTTCGTTTTTAGAACCCATTTATTACCTAAGACTTTGCAGCCAGGAGGTAAGTCTGTTAGATGCCAAGTCTTATTAGCCTCTAACGATTCCATTTCATCTATAACGGCCTCATTCCAAAAGTCTGCATCTATGGAAGTTAATGCTTCCTGTAAACTTTTTGGATCCTCGAGGGTGTATACTGAAGTAAAATCATCACCGAAATCTTTAGAGATTCTAGCCCTTTTACTTCTTCTGAGTTCATCCTCAGATCCAACACCCCCACTAGTTCTATTATCTCTAATAGCGGGTAGTACACTACCCCCACTATTTCTCATTTTAAATGGAAATCGTGTCTCAAAGAAATCAGCATCAATGGATTCTATTATAGTATGAGCATTCAAATCATAGAATCTATATGCCTTACTATTGGCCGCATAGCCAACGAAGACACATTCATATGCTCGACTAGCCAACTTAATGCTCTTAGGATCTGGAATTCTTAGGTAGGCCAAACAACCCCACGTTCTTAAATAGGACAGATTAGGTGGCTTATTCTTCAAGATCTCATAGGGTGATTCTTTTCTATTTTTTTTTGGAAGACGGTTTAGCACATAGCAAACCGTCAACAAAATATCACCCCACCAAGAAGAAGCAGCTCCAGAATTGAGCATAATAGCCACAACTAATTCTGTAAACGTCCTATTTTTCCTCTCAGCTTTACCATTCATTTCTAGTGAATATGGTGGCGTGGTTTCATGAATGATACCATGTGAGCTATAGAATTCCTTGAAGGAATTAGAGTCATACTCTTATCCTCTATCACTCCTAAGTCTTTTTATCTTTCGATTGCACTGATTTTCAAATTCAACCACAAATACCTTGAACATATCAAGGGCTTCACTTTTGTTTTTCATCAAATAAACAAAGCAATAATCAGATCAATCATCTATGAAAGTGATAAAGTATCTCTTGCTAGACCTAGTTAACGTCCCATCTAGTTCACAAATATCATAATGAATCATATCTGAGGGTTCTGATTCTCTACTCACGGATTTATGGGGCGTTTTCGTTATTTTAGCTTAGCTACAGAAATCACATTTATCAAATTCATTCATTGAGAGTTTAGGGATATATCCTAGCTTGCTTAAATTCTTCACAATTTGTGTGTTCACATGACAAAGACGAGCATGCCAAACATTCAAATCACACACCATGTAAACTGAAGAATTCATCTTATTAATTTCGACATTCAACTTGAACATCCCATTACATGCATATCCCTTTCCAACAAAACTCCCATTCTTAGTAAGGGTATACAAGTCTGCCCCAATAGATTGATTAAACCCAGCCTTATTAAGAAGATATCCCGAAACAAGATTCTTCCTTATCTCTGGAGTGTGCAACACATCCTTGAGCACCATCTTCTTCCCAGAGGTGAAGTTCAGCTCCACTTCACCAGAACCAGCAACAACATACTTCTTAGCCCCAGCCTCCTCCGTGTCGTACTTCTTTTAGAGCGCATCCCAGATCATCATTGCGGTGTTCTTGCTGTCCGCATAGTAGTCGTAGAGATCGTCTGCCATGCCGTTGAGGATGTAGTTCTTGCACAGGAAGTCATGCTCCCTTTCCTTAGCAAAAGCAGCCCTCTCCTCATTGGTCGCTTCATCCGGCAGCTCAACGGGCATGCTGGTGAGGCAGTGTGCCAACTTTTTGGTTGTCAGGTAGAACTCCATCTTTTGTCTCCAGCGACGAAAGTTGACTCCAACGAAGCGAAAGGGTCGATTGATATCGACAGCACCAGATCCGGCCATGTTGTTCTGTTCAGACGACATAGCAGCAGCCGAACGTCTTAAAATTTTTAGGAACGAAACAACAACAAGAACGAGGTTACTGAATCTGGAGCTGAAGGTCCAACGTTGGTGGAGTGTGAGACTTACAGGTTCAGAGGACACTCCTTGGCTGATCCTGATGAGCTTCGTGACCCATGTAACTTATGAAAGTAGATTCTTACTTTTTATGGGTAGAGGGAGTGCGCGTTTTTTGTAGTAATAGAAAAATAGTAGATGTAGTGATAGAAAGTTTGTCTAATAATAAACAATTGAGTGAGTTTTAGAAAATTACTACTACTGTCTCACTTTGAGGGTAGAAGCATGGCCAAAGTCACTTTAGAAGTATATGTTTATTTCGAATGGGCAATCTCAAAAGTGACTATTGTGGGGATCACTTTTAGTAAAGGTGGCACTTATCTTTAGTAATTTGTGGGTTTAGGATGAGCTCAATTTCTAAGAGTTAGTTTTAGTTTTAAGAAGTGTGTTTGTGTTGGCTTTAAGAAACTCTTTTTCTAGTATTTTCTTATAATTGAAACAAACACACCCTAGATTTTCTTCCTTTTCTTTATGATATCAAATGTGGCATCTTAGGAATTCCATTTGACTTTATTGGTGGATCAGGAGGATAGGATTTGATTGAAGAAAAGAACCTCAGTTTGTGATAGTTAGGCATTCTGTCGTCTTCCCAAATTTTGAAAGATGCTAAGCCATGAATCCTCTTTTGGTTCTGTTTTTGGCAGCTAAGAAAGCTCACTATGCCGCTAGAGATCCCATCTCAGCATTGATGACATACATGTTTCAGAACAAACTGGTGAACGAATCTGAATTGAAGGCAATCGACAAGAAGATATATGAGTTGGTCGAGGAAGCTGTGGAGTTTGCAGACGAGAGCCTTGTTCCAAATCGCAGCCAGCTGCTGGAGAATGTGTTTGCTGATCCAAAGGGCTTAGGAATCGGGCCTAATGGACGGTACAGATGCGAGGACCCCAAGTTCACCCAAGGAACATCTCAGGTCTAAGATGGGAGACTGCCACATCCGTCCACTAAACACATCTTACTTCAGGGCTCCATGTTGAATGTATTAAACCCCCCCCCCCCCCCTACAAATTTTAACTTAGTATTTGTGTAGCATCTCAATTTTTAATTTTTTGGTTTAGGTTCGATCTGTAATAAATGAATGGGTCGGATCCATGATTGGGTATTAAGATTTGGAAATTAATCCCTATCGATTAATCATAATTAAATTAAATTAACTACAGTTAATGTAACGAATGTCCTTAATGTAAATAGTTAGAAGTCTGGATGTATTAGGAAGAAGAGTGAGGAGCCGTTTGGTTCCTGGTTAACTAATGCTCCAGCTACATTCCAAGCTCAAATGAACCAGATATTTGCCCCTTAACTCAGACAATTCATACTGGTTTTCTTAGATTATGTACTTATCTACAACATTGATCAGAAGACTCACAAACACCACCTAGCAGCTACATTAACTATCCTAATGGAAAACAATCTCTTTGCTAAGCCATCTAAGTGCTCTTTTGATCAGACTCAGATTGATTATTTGTAACGGTCATACTCAGATTGATTATTTAGGTTACATCATTAACCAGGAGGGAGTGACCACTGATCCAGGTATGATAGAAGCAATGGTAGCATGACCTGTACCTAAAAGTGTGAAGGAATTGAGGGTTTTATGGGGTTAAGAGGGTATTACGGGAAGTTTGTGAGAAACTATGAGATTGTTCGTAAGTCCTTGACAGAATTACTGAAGAAGGACAGTTTCAAGTGGTTTGACAAGGCTCGGGAGGCTTTTAAGTGGTTTGGAGTAGGTGTTGTTCTGTCCCAGGATGGCGGACCTTTAGCATATCAGGTGTTGGGGCATAGGAAGTAAGGTCTTTCCACTTGTGAAAATGAATATCTAGCCGTCATACTAGCTATGACCAAGTGGCGCCATTACTTATAAAGGAGCAAGTTTAACATTGTTACAGATCATGAAAGTCTCAAACATTTGTTGGGACAAAAGATTCATACCGGATACAAAAGAAAGGGTTGGTTAACCTGTTGGGATTGGATTTTAAAATCCAGTATCGACAAGGCAAGTTCAATCAAGTTGCTGATGCTCTATCCAGACATCCCAAATTTGCTACTGCTATTGTGAATCAGGGAGAATGCAGACCTATCCCTGCTCGGTTACCCAAAGCAGTCAAAATCATAATTTTACGTAAAATTGAAAATGTGGGTAAAATTGGAATCGTAGGATGATAGACCATTAATTACACATGTTTTTACCCCTATTCTTGAGCCGTTTGAGACGTTGATTCTCGTTTTTTGAGCCGATTTCACGCTAGGTTGTGCATTTATGTCATATTTCAGGGCTTAGCATTGGCATCGAGGCAAAGGAACGAGTTTCGGGTCGAAAGGAGCATGTGAGATATGAAGTGTGCTGGAGAGCAAAATACCCGGCCATGAGCAGAAATACCCGGCCGGGTATTATTTGACCATGACCGGGGATTTGACGCTTCGGGCGTCGTTGAGAAACAGAAGGGGGCCCGGGCAGGAAGCAGAAATCCCCGGTCGGGGATTCTTGGCCATGACCGGGGATTTTCCCCTATCCCCGACGGTGCGTTTTGATTATACCCGGTCGCCACCCATAATACCCGACCGAGTATTCAGGCCGGGGATCGCGACAAACAGCTTTTTACGGGAAAAGAAGGCTAAAAATCAAGGGTTCCGAGTTTTAGAGAGACAGAGCGATTCCTAGAGAGAGAAAGCGACGAACTAGAGTTCCCAAGTGCCCTAGCTTGATCTTCATCACCATTGGAGCTCGGCTCACACTTGGAGAAGTGTCGATTGACGACCAGGAGCAGAAACCCATCCTTCACAGCATGATTTTTGCATCTGAGCTTACTTTTGCTTCTCTCTCCATGGAGTAACTTCTTCATTCATCTAGGTATGGAGAACCCTAGATTTGTATGTTAGGTTTGATTGTATAAACCCAAGTACAGATTCTATGATCTGATTATATTCAATTGAGGTTTGATTTATTGAATGGCATGAATCCTAATCAAATTCCTGTTGTTTCTGCTTTAACCTAGAAAGAGAATATCTGCCTAGGTTGATAGAGAGCCCTTAATTGAAGGTAGTGAATTGGCAACTTTAGTCGAGGAGCCAATTCACTATTGTGTACCGAATTTACTTCGGTAGTGTAGGTTTGGTTCGTTAGGGCCTCAATCTGTTTACTCCGGTGGAGGTTAGTCGACCGCTGGGGACTCAGATTGAGAGGGTCTGGAGACCTTTAGTCGAGACTTCAGACTGTTTAAGAACCTTCCGCAGTATAACTATCATTGAAATTGAACTTGGTGAATTACAGTCCGGCTTAACTGGAGTCTAGGGGGAACCATATCCGGTTGACCTCTCTTAACTTGAAAACAACCTTCTTGCTTGCTTTGTTTGTTTGCTTGTTTGAACCTGCACTAAAGTTTCACCGTTAAATAATAAGAATTCGCTGAGTAGTCATCACATCTAGGACCCGGGTTGAAATTAAAACCCAAACCCGCTATACTACGCTTTAGGAAGTGGTTACACTTGGCCATTTTCTAGAGTGACAGTAGGAGTGAGTCAATGCAAGCAAGAAATTATTGAATAACACAAAAGCACATAACACTTATAATGACAATTTTTGAAGGTTAATGTTCCAATTTATCATGGTTAATGTTAAGAGGTGGTGAATCGATGATGATTAATACGCTTGATGTAAATTGATTATAGTCAATGCTGGGTAGTGTGAGAGAACTAGATTATGTTGGTAGATGAGAAGAAAAAGAGGCGTAATTTTGCAAATTCCGGGGAAAATAAGTAAAATTGACTCAAAGATTTGAATCGTAAAATCGTAAGATTTTAAAGATTTTAAAGATTTAAATCGTGAATAGTGTAGAATTTTAAGGTCCATAGATTTTATACTGAAATCAGAATCGGAATAGGTAAGTAAAATCGTAAAAATGTAGGATTTTAGTATTTAAATCGAGATTTTGACTACTCTGGTGTTACCAACTTGGCATTCTAAGTTAGAGACTTCTTATTTGGGGGATCCTGAAGCACATGTCCTGTCGGTGGAAGCTTTTGTTCCTATCATTGGTCCAAGGCTTTATTGGATCCATCAGAGTTTAACAATATGCGTGAATAAACATCATGTGGCGTGACCTAATAGTATTGTTTGGACTAATAAACATCATGTGGCGTGACCCAATATGCGTGAATAATCAATATTCTTACGTGAATAACGCAAATATGGTGTGAATAATACAAATATGGCGTGAATAACAAAAAATTAGAGGGTAATTATCATAAATGGTCACAAAACTATTCACTTTGTACAAAACGGTCACAAACCTTTATTTTTTCACGTTCCAGCAAAATTTGTTTGGACTAATAACAAAAATGTAATTTCATCCATCTCCATCCAAAATTATGTTAGTTTGGTATAGTCAGTTGTCCTGTCAGCATCCACATCATCAAAATAATTAATAAATAATAAAATAAAATCAATTAAACCATAAACAACCCAACCCATTCCTCTCTATCTCCATTTCCTCTCCACCACATCTCCGCACAGCTAAGGAAGGTTAACGACGCCGCCACCAGCCCATGCTATATATGTTTGTCATTCGGTACCCTGTTTTTCATTCCCTTTGTTCCATCTCCTGTTTAGTAAAGAAGAAATCTTCAGCGCTTTTCCCTGTTTTGGTAAGCAATCCGAGCTCACACCCTCCATCTCGCTCCAAAAATGCGGAAAACTAGCCCCCAAACAGAGAGTGGACGCAGATCTACGCAATCTACAGTAAGGATCAATAGCACACTTTGCTCTTCCTCCTCTTCAACGCCAACCTCTTTTGTCTTGTCCCTCCTCTTCCTCCTCTACTCAACCCCTTCTGCAGCTTCCTCGAATGGTCCTTCCCTCTCCTCTTCGACGGCAGTGGCGGCTCTGGGATCTTGCTTAACTTGGTCGCCACCCATTGAAGAAGATCGGCAGCTCCGGTCGGGTCATCAGGTTGGAAAGTGACCACCATCTCCACCCTCCGCAACGCCTACATGGAAGGTGGGTCGTCCCAATTTCCATCTTCCCCCACCTTTTATTAATTAATTCATCATTAGGTAAATTTGAGATTGGGAAACTTGGTTTAATTGTGGAATTGTTATGCAGCTGAGGGAGAATACGCGACTTGTCGGGAAGGAGAATGTCGTTCAAGGACAAGTAAGAGTGAGTCAAGTTTTTGGCGCCTTTGCCGGGGACGGCTAGTTTGTTTAAGAAACATGAATTCTGTTAATTTAGCTTTTCTTTTTGCATTGTTTGCTTTGTCACACTTGTGCCTTTACGGGTTTGCTGCTTGATTGTGTGCAGGTAGTGCATGACCCGTAGCCAGTAAGGAGATTTACTGCCGTTGGATCCGGAGCTTGAACGCACATGTCGCTAATTTAGGAGACAACAACGAGCTGGACTGGCTACGGTGGAGCACATAGACGGCCACTTGAGCAACGATTCTGAAGAAGAGTACGAGATAGAAGGCGAACACAACCCACACCAGGGGAATCCTCTCCAGGTTCCCCCGGTGAACCAGGTCTTGGAGAACAACCCCATACCCCAGGCAGATGGGGTTCATCATCAGCCACCACCGTCGGGTCCCACCTTGGAGTACTACTACACTCCACGGATTGCTGATATCCGCCCTGTCATCCTCTACTCGCCAGTTCCAGCGAACAATTTTGAGATCAAGCTATGCTGGATTCAACTCATTACATTCTCTATCCAGTTTCACGGCTTGAAGGATGAGGAGGCAAGGGTGCACCTTTCCCGTTTTCTGCAGCTGACGAACGGGTTCAAGCTAAATGGTGTCCCTGATGACGCAATCCACCTTCACCTCTTCCCCCATTCTCTGGCGGGGAATGCTAAGAGGTGGTTGGAGACCCAGCCCCCATTGTCCATCACTTCTTGGGACGATATGGCCAACAAGTTCGTGCACAGGTACTATCCGGCATCGAAGACTACAGAGATTCAACGAGAGATC